GATGATAGAAATTCACAATCATAATGAAGTAAAATCTAAGTAATTTATACAGTAATTAGATACTGGTACTAAGCCCACTTTCAAGCCAAATGATTAATCTACAGTACCTTCAGCATTAGTCTGTACACAAGAAAACCTTTTTTATTCAGAGACTAAATGTTGCTTTCCTTACCATCTGAAATAATTCTTTGGAATTCTGAACTGCCACTTGTCTTTCTGTCCACAGGTCTGTTTAAGGAAAAGATGTTACTGATGCCAAAAATTAGTTAATCCAAAAACATTTAAGAGACACTTGCTATAACTGAAGGTGGCAAATTCTGCTTCTGTTCACAGTATGAGGTCTGGAATTGCATATTTAATTGTTCCAGCCCCTTAAGGTTTGATATTTACAGATTCTGAATGGTATCTCAGAAAAAAAAAATTATTTTTCAATGCCAAATGAGTCAGATGCTGGCCATTATGCAGCCATTGTCAGTACAAGCCAATGTAAGTACTGGATGGCTTGTAACTGCTTCTGCATGCTGTACCAGTTTAAGAATTACCTTGATTTTTTTATCACATCACATCACATCATCACATCACATCACATCACATCACATCACATCACATCACATCACATCACAATTTTTTAATCACATCAGATTTTTTATCTTCTCATTGCTTCTCAAGAGCTTATTATTTGCAATTTTCCTTAGGGGAACATTCTTACCTAATTTCTACACTTCATAATGTACAAAATACTTAAAAATATTGTATTAATTCCTTGACATTTTCTAGTGTGTTTTTAGTTTACAGTAACTGCTGGAAAGAAAGTGAAAACCTTTTGCTAGCATGTTATTACAGGATGAAGTCATCTATTTCTGCTCCAGTTCAGTGAAATACTTAATTTGTACTTTGAACCTGTGCTTAAAGACTATGGTAATTTTGGATCTGGGTAGCAAATATAAGATCCCTTCTCTTAATGTCTTTGAGACACATTTTGAAAGGATAATAATTTTTCATAGATCCAAAAGTGCTTTTTAGTGGAGGTCTGTAGCAATATTTCCATTCTGTGTTGCTTTGCCTCAATTTCCAATGTGCATATTTAATTTCTCTCCAATATGGAATAGAAAAAAAGTGACTTTGTAAGTAAAAGCAGCGAAAAGAAACTACTAAGAAAAAGACATTACAGTTAAGACGTGATTTGTCCTCCTGACATCAATTTAAGTAGTAGGATCACAGCAGATTCCTCTCCAGGAGGAAAACAAATTGAGACTAATGCATGTTTAGGACTTCATTGCCTATATTAGTATAAGGATTGTAAAGAGCAGAAGCTCAAAATAACGAGTTACTTCAGTTGGGAGCAGCAGAGAGTGTTGGGATGATTTTTGGTTTATTTTGTATTGCTACCATTTAGTGGAGTGTCTTGGTGAAATCAAGGAAGGCCTTTTCCTCTGCATTGATTGCAAGGCAGTGCTCGTTAGGAAGCCATGCTGGAGTCATACGTGAGGTGATACGGAGTGCAGTGGCCTCTGCATTTGGAAGTGCTGGGCCCTCATAGGGATATCAAATATATTTCTTTTTTCCTGGGAAGCTGGATGAAGATTTTGCTTAGAGGTCCACAGTAAAAAAGAAGGAATAGAGATGCTGGCTTTTAAGAATGGAATAGCAAATTGTCCGTTTTGATGAACATAAGTTGACTCATATTTTCAATGCCATATTCAATTTGAATTATTCCGCTGCAAAATCAAACAGAAAAACAATTTTTCAACAATTGAATGTGACATGAGTTTGAAAAGATTGGACTTTTTATGTAGATCCATAATCTCAAGGTTGTAAGAAGATTATTTTGATTTTATTTGTATTTTCTCAGCATAAAAGGTAAAAACAGGAAGTACCATACATGTTGAAATTGGAAATCATATTGAATGTAATATATAAAGACAACAACTAGCCTGTGGAAACCTCTAAATGTAATAAAGTATGCACTATAGAGACAATGAGTTATGGGATTCTTTTTTTTAGCATGAAGGTTTTTCTGCTTGTAATAAAACTATCTCCCAGTCTGGGAGTATTGTCCTGGATTTATCTGGGATAGAGTTAATTTCTCCTCAGTAGCTGGTACTTTGCTGTGTTTTGGATTCAGTATGAGAATTATGTTGATAACGTACTGATGTTTTGTTTGTTGCTAAGTAGTGTTTATCCCAAGCCAAGGACGTTTTTTGTGTCTCATGCTCTGCCAATGAGGAGGGGCACAAGGAAGCTGGGAGGGAGAACAGCTGAGACCCAAAGTGGCCAAAGGGACATTCCACACCACTGGAATGTCACACCCAGTTTATTAACTGGGGGAGTGACCTGGACGAGGAAAGGGACTGGCATTGGTGGTGAGCAATTGCATTGGGCATCACTTGTCTTACCATGTGGGTTTTTATTTTTTTCTTTTATCATCATTATTACTATTACTATTACTATTACTATTACTATTACTATTACTATTACTATTATTATTAAATTTTCCTTTTGTTTCAATTATTAAACTGTTCTTATCTCAACCTACAAGTTTTACATCTGATTCTCCTCCCCATTCCACCGAGGTAGGGGACTGAGCAAGTGGCTGTGTAGTGTTTACTTGCCAGCTGGGATTAAACCACAACAGGTATGTGTAGAAATATGGGTAGGGAGAAAATCGACAGAAGATTTGCAAAAGATTAGGATCATTTCTATGTTAGCAATTGAAGAGGTTATACTAAAGTGTATACAGAATTAGTGCTAAGTGAGCATCTGTTCATCAATTTTTTCAGCAAGAGAGGCAGGAATAATTCAGTAAAAATACATATCAAATATTTTGTGGAACTTTACACAAAGACATCACTGAAGCCAATAGCTTTGCAGAGAAATACAGAAAAATTTAGTCTGTGTGTGTGTTTGTGTAACAGGGAATTTATTAAATAAATATTTTTAATTCAAAGAGAAATATCATGCTTCATGCAAAAATTATTGTTTTGTTGGTAAGACTAAGGAAGAAACTTTGTTTATAGGAACATTATGATTTTGGTTCTGAAAGTTTCTTGACTTAGTTTAATTTCCTTAGTATATCATAGTGTCTGTTCTTGTACAGAAAATTCATGACTAACATAGACCAGCAGTTTGGTTGAGTTTGGTCATATCCATTTTTCTATTAGAGCTGATCTGATTTTCTGCTGGTACCGTGTGCAACTCAATTCAAAACTTAAATGTTTTTAAAATTAGTGGCATGTCCTTGAGCTGGGTCATTTACCTGAATTTAATGGTAATAATTCATTTGGCTTGGGGTCAGTATGTTGTATCCAGACTGAACAGCCAGTTCTGCACAGTGGACAACAAGACCAATCTAAGACAATTAGCAAAATCTCAGGCCAAATACTGAGATAGAGTTCCCAGCAGTGGTAATGAGATGAGGTTTGTATATGCAGCAGCAAAGTCCAGGAGTGATCAGTTCTGCAAACCTCATTTGCAGTCAGTGGCGCCAGAGCAGCTGCTCCACTGTATTTGTATAATACATTTGAAAGGCAGTTCACCTCTGCTGTCTTTTGGGCGGCTTTGTGGGATGCATTTGGCCATTTGTATGAATAGCCCAGGGGTTTCTGATGCTGTCCTGGTCCCCTCTGCAATCCTAAAGCCTTGGGTGCCCCTGCTAGACTGCTCACTTTTACACACAGACTTCTAAAGTTGCTCACTATACAGAACAAAGAAATTTAAAAGTATGAATATCTGTTTGTGTATACATATGAATATGATGATTTCTTAGCTATTTGCTATTAATATCAAGTTATGACATTATTGGTATGGGTTAGACTTTAATTCTTTTTAGGTTATAGTGAGTATTTTTTGGTAAGATATTACAATACCATGGTATGCAGGCGTAATGGTAATGAGTCAGGAATTGGCACACAGTCTTCTGAGTCAGGATATTGGGGGGCATTTTGTACCAGAGGTACTTTCTTTTGGCTTAGCTGCAGAGCTGACCATCTGTGGTCATAAAAGATCCTGGGAATATTTTTGTAATAACCTCGTTTAGTGTCCAAATTTCTTTATGAGTAATAGCATTTGAATGAACTTTCCCAAATTATAGCTATTACTTCTTTTATAAAATATGCTTTGTCATGTACTTATGTTGTCATATTTATATATGTAATTTTATGCATTTTAATTTGCTATTAGTCATATATCATTGCAGACTGTAAAGCTGGGGAACACTGAAATTCCTTGTGAATATTGATTTGTGTTAACTATGCCTGTGTACACAGGCAGTTCAGACACTGCCTTGAGATTATAAAAGGTTATTGTCTGCAAACAACATGACTTCTGTCCCCTGTTATACCTCAGGTATAAAAGTCACTAACCACTCTGTTCTTCACAAATTGAAAGCCTAGAAGCAGTCTAAACAATGAGGAGTTCAGTGATCTTCTGGGATATTACCAGTGTTATAAAGCATGCTGAATACACATTAAAATAAAGGGCCTGTTGTGGTCTCAGGAAAGAAATAACTGCCTTTCATTTCTGTTCAAATTCAAGAGAAATTTTAAGGTGCTTCACTAGTTGACCGACAGGTAATTCTGTATGATTTCAATGTAGTGAAGAAACTATGTTGTTAATTCCCAGATTAATTTCCTTTGAAAACTGTGGATATTTGTAATTCACCAACCGCTGATATATACTTCCTTTTATTCTTACATCTTAAAACAATACAAACACCTGATTAATTTTGTAACTGGGAAGTTGTAATGGAGGCTGGCTGCCGGTGAGGAAAAGGAAACAGGCCCACTAATAACTGGCTGGGAGAGCAAGCTGAAACAGTAAGGATTTTTAAAAAATGGCTTCTATGGTTATTCTATTCCCAACCACCACAGAAACCTATGGATAGGTCTCTAGTGAAAATGCTGCTCTCGCTGTTTTGGAAAAATCCTGGGCAAACAGAGGCAAAAGGGAAAAATATTACACAGTAACAATGTTGTTGACATCAGTGTCTCATTGTCCTATAGGTCTGAAGTTTGAGGAAATGCAAGAAAAATTTGGGGAGGAATTCTTCAATATCTGCTTTGATGAGAATGAAAGAGTTCTTCGAGCTGTAGGTGGGACCCTTCAAGACTTCTTCAATGGCTTTGATGCTTTGCTGGAGCATATTAGAACTTCATTTGGAAGACAGGCCACCCTGGAATCTCCTTCTTTCCTATGCAAAGAACTCCCTGAAGGCAATCTCATGCTTCATTATTTTCACCCACATCAGATCGTGGGATTTGCAATGACAGGAATGATAAAAGCAGCAGCAAAGAAGATTTACCGCTTGGAAGTAGAAGTAGAACAGGTCACAAATGATAAGTTGTGTTCAGAGGGGACAAACCCAGGTAACTGCAGTTGTTTGACTTTCCTTATCAAAGAACATGAAAATGCAAATACCACAAAAACACTTCCACCCGGAACTTCCCACTCCCCCTTAGACCTGAGGATTAGCATCAGCACCTTCTGCAGAGCTTTCCCCTTTCACCTGATGTTTGATCCAAACATGCTGGTTCTCCAGCTTGGAGAAGGTCTTAGGAAGCAGCTCAGATGTGACACTCATAAAACGCTGAAATTCCAAGAGTGCTTTGACATAGTCTCTCCTAAAATCAGTGCCACATTTGAACGAGTCCTCCTGAGGTTATCTACACCTTTTGTCATTCGGACCAAACTTGAGGATTCTGATTCTGAAAGTAAAGATAAGGTAAGAATATTGATTTGGAAGTGAATGTGCTTATATGTGTGTGGTGAGAGAGGATTGTTGCTCAGAGAAAAGCAGCTCAAGTCCTGTGTACTCTGGAAAGCCCACTGATGCCTTGCAAACAGGGGCTAAGTGATATTCCCCAGCCAAGTGAATATTTTCCTAGATTATTTATAAGCTTTGCCTGTGAAGTTGTAGCAAATCATGACATTTCCATTCAGAAAATACTGTACAGTGGGGTTGAATAGTACAGCTTGAATAAAAGGGTGAGGAATTTTACAAAATACCTATACCTTATCCTTAATTTCACTCCAGCTATATTCTGATAAGAATAGCTTATATAAATATATAATAAATAGTAAACCATTTACTAGGGCCTACCTAGCTTGAAGTATTTATTCTGAAAGTTTCTCACTGCAGGGTTCTCATTGCTACCTTACTGTATCTTATTTCCGTGTTTTGGAATGCTGCTTTCCTATAGATTTCTTCTTACCTCTCACCCTGCATTCGAGGAAACCAGAGCTGTAAGTGGTACTGAGTATTACTTAAGCCAGTTTTATTGTGTTCCAGACATTCAAATAGACACTTGTTCTACACTGCCTCTTTCATCCATGTTTTACGAGAGAGCTACCTTAACCAGTGAGCCCTGTGTTGAGTTTAGTGCATTCAGCTGAGGAAACTGAGAACATGTCTTTAGTGTGGAGTTCTCCAGTGGTTGGATAAAATTTGTCTCAAAGCCTATCCTTGAATTACAGGAAAGTTTTTTTTTTGTATGAAGTAGGGTTCTGGGTTTTATGCACCAAAGTACTTGTACTTAATGCTAACATTAAAACCTGCTTAAAGGCTTGAAAGTCTGTGTGTGGGTGCCTTGGAAATACTGCTGCCCTAGGTTGAACTGGATGATCTTTAAGGTCCCTTCCAACCCAAACCGTTCTATGGTTCTATGATTCTATGATAATTCAATATATAGCTACTTCTTACAGCAGAAGTATTTCCAGCTCCTCTTTGGCACCAAAATGCATATGTGTGGTGCATTTTCCTTTGGAAATAATGTATTCCCCCAAAGAGAAACAAACTGGTGCTTTTCATTTTGTATTAGTTGATCTAATTCAACTTTCTTAAAACCAAAAGGCAGTTTATTTTTTAGAATCTGTCCTCAGTGTCACCCTATCCTTTAATTACAAGAAGGAAATGAGGTGTGAAAAGGAATGGAAGTATTGGCTCTGAGCTACCTTATGACACACTTGTTTCTTCTTTGAAAGAGTCTGGTTTCATGACACTTCAGGCAGAACACACTTGTCCCTCTCAGAAGCCTTCCCCTCTCCCAGGACGCTCACAGCCCTTTGACTGCCTTCTGCTCTTCATGAATCTGCTGTAAATCACTCTGAAGAGGACGAAGGCTTAGGTGGGGGAAGGAAGCTTTCAAATACTTTTTCCCTACTTAAGTTAAACACACAAAATATTCTCTTACCTGGACAGGTTTCATATGCTTGTGGCTTGCTCTTAGGAGAAGTGGCAGGAGTGGGGCTTGATGTAGGCAGGATTTTAGATTAGGCAGTGCTAACACCAGAAAAGCAGGTGGAAGGGGGTAGCAGCAAAGGACATCCTTTGCATGCCGGCAGTTAGGAAAAAATTTGTATCTTTAAAAGTAAGGTGTGAATGAGAAGCAAAAAGGTGATGGTGAAGTGCAGGGGAGCTGCTGTGTTGCAGGCATGGGAATTAATTTGAGGACATCAGTTTATCTGAAGAAGTGTTTTTTTCTGTCTCACCCATTTGATAAACACTTTCAAAATTTTTCTTTATGAATAGTTAAAAAAAGCTCAGCATATGATGCATTTTGCCAGATATTCCTTTTTTTAAAAAAAGAAGAAGTTGCCCAGATTGATAGGCTGTGGCTGACTTGCTTACATAGATTTTGGGAGGAGGGACATAGCAATACAGTTTATGTCATGACATTATCCATAAAAGTCTTTTATGGATAAAAAAAGTAGACTGGGCCTTGGGAACCGCATGCTGTATTATTTTCCCAGAGCTCATGTCACTCATTTTGGAATTCTTTTCAGTTTGCCAGCACTTGTTTGGAAGTTGGATATTAGGCAGGTAGATCAGTGACTGGTAGTATGACCCTGCTTAAAATTTGCCCATAGCTGACTTAGAGATTTCTCTGTTTCTCTGCCACACGCCTCTATTCAGTTCATAGTAGAATCGCATTACACTTAGAGCTATTTATCTTTTTTTTTTTTTTAATAAATCTGACTGCAATAACTGACACTTTTCAGATACCTTTGGTTACTTTTTTAGTTACCGTCAATGGCAGCTGTAGGCATGCAACCCAGACAGCCCTACTGCAATGTTGAAGCTGTTCAGATATCTTACTGCATTGAAAAAACAAAAAGTTCAAAGGCTTTGCAATGAACAGAGGCTGTTGCAGTCTCTCTTCAAAAGATGTTTATTTTCATTTCAATGCATAAATCATATATTTTTTTCAGACTGGCAGTGAGAAAGACAGAATAAGAAAATAGTTTTCATTTAGTCTTGACACCAGATCTGTGTTCAAATGAAAGTCAGTCGCAAATCATGATCTTTCTCTAACTAGACACGTAGAAGTAAAATAAAAAACCCCACCTGTCCTGGCTTTCAGGGTATTTAGTGCTCGTTCAGTTTATTTAAAGATTCATTTGTGTGTTTGAATTTACTTGGATTTGAATCACTGGAATATATAATACTATCCTAAATTTCTGATACAAGGCCTGTGAGGTCTGGGTGATAGCACTTCCTGCAGATCTGTCTGTGGACCTTTACAGAAGCACAGCCTCATGCCTCAATATCTCAGCAAAATTTTGTTAATTTGGTATATCACCAGCTGTTCCTTGGAGGTCACAGCATTTACAGGATCCCATTGTTCTAGGGACTGAGCAAAAAAAAAAAAAAGAAAAAAAAGAATTCCCCATCTGAAGAACATGGACACCAAGCTCTAAACATGATTTCCAAAGCCATGTTTCCTGTTTTCCCATGCAGCTAATTGCTTGTTATTGGCTTTTTTCTTATGGTATGGTACTACCCAGATGTTAAAGGGCCCTGTTGTTCTACTTCTTGTACAAACATTAAGTTGCTTTTCACATTTCATTCTAATTTTTTTTTTTTTTTGTGTGTGCGTGTTTAACCAGAGACCTTCACTAGCATCCAGTCAGCTTTTCCAAATTTTGGACATTTTCCCAAAATAACAAGATCATAATGTTTGTTGTTTGACCTCTCTAAGGAAACTCATTCTATACTTCTCTATGGGAGCAATTATTTATTGCAACAATAAAAAATAAATGTATTGTCACAATTAACCATTTGGAATTGATCTCTTATGGCTTCACACATGGCTAATACAACTGCACTGCACAGAAGTTCAGTGAATGTTAGTGGAGTCATGTGGGATAAGAAATTAAATTAAGAGGGCTGATCTGAACTCGTGTGGTGGAGTGTTTGAAATCCATGTCGAGCCCATCCCCTAAGGTGAAGGTGCTGGCATGGGAGGGAGGATAACCCAGCAGTGAGTGGTGCTTGCAGGGCAGGTTGGTGTCCCCCCACCATTTCCTGACCAGACAGGGGCTGGAAGCTCCCGACAGGTACATCCTGAGCGCAGCCATTTTCAGCCTGTAGCGATGATCAAGGCCATCTGTGACATGATATAAATACTCATCTCCTTGACAGTACACTGAGGTGCCTGGAGCTGCTTCAATTTTTAGCTGAATGGGAGCACAAGGAATGGCTCTCCTGCTTTCACTCTTCTGGCACGTTCTCCTCACGTGCCCCTTGTGAGCCGTCAGTGCTGGGCAGATTGAGAGGAGAAGGGGCTGCCCTCGCAGGGACACCCTGTCCCCAAGACCTCGATCCAGGCCCCGCACTCCTGGATTGACAGGATGAGCCCTGCCAGCACTTTTGGTGCCTACCAGTTTGTGGGCCCACATTTCTGAAACTGGGTTTCAGTTTCTCTGCCATATGCTGTGCAGCTGTATTTTCTTTGTATTGCTGCTCTTCAGCTCAGACTAACAGCCCTTATCCAATTTGAAATAGATAAGTTTTTGTAAGGATACTCACTGGCCTTTGACTTAGGCCTCTGAGCACTTTAGAAATTATCTAAGAATAAAGCTGGCACCAAAAACTGCATTACTGGAGGTGTCCAGACATTTTTTTTTTTTACGATGGAGTGTATTTGCTTTGAATAATTTATTAAAATTATAACTTCCCAGTTAATAGTTATCAAAATGTCTTCTGGCAAAAAATTATTTTTATTTTATTTTATTTACTTTTATTTTATTTATATCTGAGTTAAATTTTTTTCAGTAATTTTAGACATAAAATACTTTCATTAAGGAAAAAAGTTTACCTTACAAATTACAATGCAACATTTAAAATATGAAACACTGGATTTGATAAAAATGACCCTCTGAAATTTTTATATTGGAAATGTGGCAGCAGCTCCCTGGCCCCAGAGAGAAACACAACTTTCCCAGGCATTGTTCTGGGAAAAGTCTGTGAGAAGATCAGAGAAAAGAATGAGAAACAATTCCTATCTTAACTTTGCTGCACCTGGTATTGTGAACATGTGGACTGTGTTATGCAGATTTGTTTACCAGAGGGTGGTTTCTAAATTCGCCAATGGTGATGGTGTTTGGATTGGAGGACCAATTAGGTCTACCTGCAGTAAACTAGAATATAAAAGAGCAATGGGTTTCTTTATAAAGATAATCATCAGCTTTCTGTAATACATGAAGTCTATGTAACTTATTACCTGGCTGTGGGCTGTTTGCAATGACATGGAAGAAATTCCAAATGCCACATATAATTCAGGTTTATGAATGGCTTGAAGCTATGCTGGTGAGGTTTAGGTTGGATACTGGGGAAAGGTTCTTCACACAGAGGGTGGTTGGGCACTGGAACAGGCTCCCCAGGGGAGTGGTCACAGCACCAGTCTGGCAGAGTTCAAGAAGCATTTGGACAACGCTCTCAGA